CTGCACGCCTCCACCCACAAACGGGCGGCAGATGTTCACGATCTGTCATCCTTCTTGAGTCTCGGCCAATTTGGCAACACACTTCAAAGCTTGTTCTGTGCGTGCGGCCGCGTGCGGCGTGTGGTGTTCAAGCCAGGAGTGGACATTCCACGTTCTTATGGTTAGCGTGGTGTCGATCCACACACACACACGCACGAAACAATGGTACTCATTCTTTTTTATCGGCCCCGAATTTGAACTCGCTGATTGAGGGTCGGATTCCACGTGGGTCGCAGTGATTCTCGCTCACGGCCAACACCGGTGACGATTATCTGGACCGATCCTGGGCCTCCCCTAGGTCGACCCAGCCTCAGACGGGTGCCTGGTGCGGTGTGTAGTAAACATCGCCACTGGGAGAGACAAAGGCGGCCGGGCGTGGTTCTGCGTGTATCTGTCTCTCGACTACAGTGGGAGGCGGTGTTGTAGTGGTTAGCGCAACTGCAAACGCCGGTGGCGAATCGAATATCTGCACCTGTCCTGGGCCTCCCCTAGGGCGACTCAGCTGTAAAACAAAAACAAGTACCTGGTGCGGTGAGCGTGTGACCATCAGCGCCGGGGAGACAAAGCCGTCCGGGCGTGAACGAAACTCCGGCCCACACTACACGTCCCGGCCTTCACAAAGTTGCTCGCTCGCTGCTCTCGTAGCAAACAGCACTTGCCCCCTCTCCTCCAAAACTGTGCCGTTGAAGGCTACCCGGGGGGCCTTTGCCTGTGTCTCTGTCTCTCCATCCGCTCGGGTTTGGGGTGCGCCGATGTCGCGTTCGTTGACGGGAAAGTCGCGCATTCCTCTCCCGCGCGTTCCGACTCGCACTGCTGGGAGGCGACACCTCGCCCCCCCCCTCGCCCCTCGCCCCTCCCCTCGCCCTCCCCATCGCACCCCCATCGCCTCCCCCTCGCCCCCCCCTCGCCCCCCTCCCTCCTCCTCCTTCCACCCCGTCACCTCCAAAAACCCACAACATCAAGGCACGCTCCTACTCCCTCCTCCTCCTCCCCATCATCATCATCATGATCCTCCTCATGGAGAGTCGGATGACAGCTCTGCAGCTCTGCAGCGCTGTCAGGAGGTGTCAGGCAGCAGCAGGGAGCGGGGCGCACGAGGGACGCGAACGTCGTGAACGCGCTCGGCCGGAACGGTGCAAAGCCTCACGTGGGGCTCATCCCACCCCAACACCGCCCCCCACATCCTCTCTCTGTCTCTCTGTGTGTCTCTCTGTCTGTCTGTACCCGGCCGGGTGCGGGTAGGGTACGGGTATCGGGTACCTGATTGCGACCTCTGGGATGAAGCCATGTTGCAGGCGCGGGTGGGTTGATTCTAGGAACTTGAATTGTGAGAAGAGACAAGACGTTGGGAAATGAGTGACTAACGGTTACTCACCAGTGACTCACGGTCTACCCGTACCCGGCCGCACCAGGGTCGCAAACGGGTAACTGTACCCGGCTGGGTACGGGTAGCCGGGTATGGGTAGGGTACGGGTATCGGGTACCCGGTTGCGACCTCTGGTTGCAGTGTACGAAAAGGCCTCCTCCGCCAGGGTCAACTGGGCGAAGTGCGAGGTCCCCGCTGTGTTTGGGGTCGCGAGGCGGCGCTCGCTCTGTGCCCCTCCCAGGAGGAGTCGGTTGGCAGGACGACAGAGTCGAGCACCTGGGGGTTCACCTGGGAAACCCCCACGACGTCGCTCTCAACACCTGCACCGAGCTGGCCGACACAATCGAGGCTAAATTACTGACATGGGCACACGCCTCGCTCCGCAGATGTCCTTCAGGGGCCGAGTGCTCGCCGCTAACACCCTGGCAGCATCCTGCTGTGACACAAGACCAAGGCCCTCCAGCCTCCTGCTTGGCTACTCGCCAGAGTCAACCGCTCACTCCACGCGCACTTTGTCTGGCACGGGAAGCACCGGCTCAGGCCGGGCGTTCTCTGCCTGCCGGTGAGCAAGGGTGGCCAGGGTCTGGTGGACGTCGCCGCCAGGGTCACGAGCTTCAGGGTCATGAGCTTCAGGGTCATGAGCTTCAGACTCATGGTAGTCAGGCGGCTGCTGTACGACCGGGAGGAGCTACCCTGGAAGTCGCCGGCCCTCGCCCTGCTGAGGAATGCAGGGGGCTGCCTGGGGTACGGAAAGGAGCTCCTCCTGATGGACCTGAGCCTGTCGACTACACGAGGCTATCACCAGAGCCTCTTGGACGCGTGGCGGAGCTTCGAGTGGAGCAGAACGCGCGTGGCGCCCTACGACCTCGCGCAGTTCCTGAACGAGCCCTTGTTCTGCAACGGCCTCTTCCAGGGGATCAGAGGATTGAGGACCCTGGCTCTACGTCTCACGTCAGCAGGGCTGCGGACAGTCTTCCACCTCGTGCAGGCCCACCAGCACAAGTGCAAGACCGCAGCTGAGATCGCCGGCACTGCTAGGGGACTCCGCTCCACCCTCGCCGGGGAGAAGCTGCTGCGGGACGTCGCTCCGCTCCATGAAGGAGCTGCGCCTGAAGCTGGAGGCGCCGGGGGACCGTGGCGGCCCTCCCCCTCCCCTCCTCCTCCTTCCCGGAGTTGTGCTTCTCCTGCGCGCAGCCCCCCAGCCACAGCGACTCCGGCAAGCTACTGAAGCTCCGAGGCTGCAGGAACGTGCCCCTCAAGAGTGCCCCAAACACAGCGCTCTACACGTGCTGTGTCAAGGCGCTCTACACGTGCTGTGTCAAGGCGCTCTACACGTGCTGTGTCAAGGCGCTCTACACGTGCTGTGTCAAGGCGCTCTACACGTGCTGTGTCAAGGCGCTCTACACGTGCTGTGTCAAGGCGCTCTACACGTGCTGTGTCAAGGCGCTCTACACGTGCTGTGTCAAGGCGCTCTACACGTGCTGTGTCAAGGCGCTCTACACGTGCTGTGTCAAGGCGCTCTACACGTGCTGTGTCAAGGCGCTCTACACGTGCTGCATAAAAGTGCTGCATTCCCGGGACCTGGCCGACCTACCGGACACAAAATAGAGAAACCATGTCTTTTCCCTTATTGCGGCCGCCCCTCAGTGGAAACAAATATACAAGTCTCCCCCGTAGCCAAACGCTGCGGTGACCTCCAGTGGAGGTTGGCACACTGCACGTTGCCATCGGCCGTGTGGCTCAGCCGAATCTCGCCAGGGGTAACAGACTTGTGCATTTCCTGCGGTGCCAGGGAGGATCTGCCCCACCGGTACTTACACTGCCAGCAGCTCAAACCAATGTTCCGCCTTTTGGGGGACATCTTCAGGAAACTGGGGGTGCCCTTCTACAACAGCAGCTTCGTGTATGGGGTGGTGCCTTACCTGGCTAACAAGCGCCATGACCTCGCCATCTTCGCCTGTGCTCAGGCGAAGATGGCGGTGCACAGAACGAGGAAGAAGATGTTGGAGGGTGACACTGACGGCTGCTCTGTGATGATTACAGTGTTCAGGAGCCTGCTCAAGGCGCGGCTCCGGCTGGAGCACGCCACGTGACACACACGTGTCGGTGATGTGCAGCGCGTCTTCTTCTGACGCTGGGGAGCCGGACAAGCCCCTCTCTGTACCAGCGTGGACGGCACCCTCGTGGTGTTCACCTTCTGAAGCACTCGCTCGTCACCGTGGCGTGCGCGATGACCACCACCACCACCACGTGGCTTTTCTTTTGTATTGTGCGCGGTGCTTTCAGCACCACAGCGCGTGGATTTGTAACGATTTGTAACGTTTGTTTTCTTTTGGTTGCTGGTGACTTTGTGTATTGCATATTGAAATCACCTCCAGTGCTTTTGCTGCTGGCGGCAATAAAAGTTGTTTAAAAGTCAAAAGTCTCTGTGTCTCTCTCTCTTTCTGTCTCTCTCTCTGTGTCTCTCTGTCTCTCTTTCTCTCTCTGTGTCTCTCTCTCTGTGTCTCTCTGTGTCTCTCTCTCTCTGTGTCTCTCTCTCTCTGTGTCTCTGTCTCTCTGTCTCTGTCTCTCTCTCCCAAGGGGTTCATAATGCCCGTGTCGTACCAGGACAACGAGCCGTATCTCCCTCTCTCTCTCCGTCCGTCAGGGGGACGTTCACAATGGCCGTGTCGTGCGAGAGCACCTGGATCTGTAAGCCCTCTGGGTCCGAGTGTATCCACGGCTCGCAGTGGCCGTGCCAGCGCGCTGAGCCGTGTCTCTCTCGCATTGTTCACGGTGGCCGTGGCGTATCACAGCAGCTGAGCTCTAAGCCACGGGGGTCTGAATGTGTCCACGAGGGGGGGGGTGGATAGGGGGGGGGGCCCTGGTGGGGGGCCCTCCCCTCCCTCCCCTCCCTCCCTCTCCACCCCTCCCTCCCTCTCCACGTCGTGCTGATCGTGGGAGGCTAT